GACATGTCTTTCACTGTCTTGATCACGAAGAGCGTCTTCGATTAAGCAAGGTTCTCTACTGCCTTTGATGTATTAGAGTCCCGAGACTTCCTTTAGGCTCCTGTGACTTCGTAACTGCTCAGTTGCTCGTTCAAAACATAAGCCTTGCAATTTCTAAAGAAATAATGGTTTTTTCATTTATTAATCCAGCGTAGTTTTCTCTCTTATATCTAGTGGATACTCAGTAGATGTGTCTCTTTAGTTCGTAAACAATTGGTGTGCTCTTCTTGTGGCATGAGTTGAGATTTTGAACATGGCTGCGCTCATCCTTCTCCAGGTGGCTCGCCTTAATCGTGAACGTGAAGCCCTTGTGTTTCGACTTAAGAAACCTTCCGTTCTGAAAGCTGACCTGGATTGAGGAATTCCTTCGTCCAGTAATGGCGTGAAAACACCACACATATATAGAATTTCTATATATTATTTATATATTAGATATGCGTTGTACTTATTGGAAAGCGACCAATTTCAGTGATAGAACAGTCATATTTAGTTGTATGAGTGACACGTTTTGAAACCTTACAAATGCCATGTATATAATTTTATATTCCACGTTTCTGCGTTCGTGTGAGTGACATTCGAAACGGAAACAGTGGAGAATTTCTTCCTCCCACAATCATCAAACTTCAACAACTATTACCAAACAGAAATTGACGTAAATAGATTCCAAATTTTTAAAATAATTCAGTTTGCCTGACGATCGCAAAAGGCGTGAAGCACAGGATCACAAAGTCATATCAATGCAACAATATATATATATATATATATATATATATATATATATATATATATATATATATATATATATGGGGCGAGTGCAACCTTTAGTCTGTATATATTCCTTCCTCTTTGTTCATGAGGTACCACATTATGTTGCATAAGGCTCCTTTCTGCAAAGCATGTCGCTATACGATACCTATTATAAGAACCCGTTGAATTTAACGTACTGAATTACGCACACGCGATTATACCAATCAGTGTTCGACCACACCATATGCCATTGTTTCATATTCTGATATTTCATTTCATCAAACGCGTCAAATCCTAAGAAAAAGAACTCTTTGTTTGCAGAGACTTCTGGGGCCTTGTACCATATGAAATAGAGTTCAGTAAATATGTCACTATTTACATTTTCCGACTATTGTCTGTATCTTTGTCGTCATATTTATTACAACGATTCGGCCGTTGTACGTTCCGGGGTTCTACAGGTGTTTGGAGCCAACAACGGCCGAAACGTTGTAATAAATATGGCCACAGTGATGAGGACAACAGTGAATAATTTAAATAGTGTACATAATACCTCATCTCAGAAACATAGACAGATATTGAAATATATAAGTATTGACAATTAAATATCTTAAAATATTATTGTGAAAAACGATGTCGACGAAAACGAATTGATCTAACATCACGTTATATAACAGTTAATTTTTTCGGTATATCTCTTTGTATCATCTGCAAAAGGAATCCGTTAAATGCAATAAATAAATAAAAAAGGAAATCATAATCCTTACAAAATCTTTTTATGTTTTCTTCTGATATTCAATCTGAAGAAATCTATGAAAAAAGTATTCCCCGATTCTCAGAGGATTTTACTTATTCATTTTTGTCCCCACTTTGTGAATTTTTATATTTTAAATGGATTTTGAAACCTTTCAAATACTATGTATATAATTTCATAATCCATATTGCTCTGAAAATTCTTATCGCATCCTTTAAAGATAACATTGTAGACAGGATTCTTATTCAGAATTACAAATTTTTCGCTAGTAACTTTTTTACATATTCTTTGTAACAAAACATATAAATCCCTTTTAAAAATATGATTTCAGTTAATCAATATTTGTTTGCAAATAAATAGCGAATTTTGTTAAATTCTTAGAATATATTTACACAATTCATCTAAAAAATTGAATACGTTTGCAAATCAATATACATATAAAATAATAATATAAATAATACATCTATATATCATATATATTACACTTTTTAAAATTATTCCGTTATTATTTATCTTTATGCTAATATTTTATATATATGTGTGTGTTTATACGCAAAGAAGCAACTGTATTTACATATATATGTGTAAAGAACCTATAATATATATGCACATGAATATAAGCTACTATATATCAATATCTCTCTCTCTCTATATATATATATATATAGAGAGAGAGAGAGGGAGAGATATAGATAGATAGATAGATAGATAGATAGATAGATAGATAGATAGATAGATAGATAGATATAGATTGGGTCAGATAAATTCGAAAAATAATTGATAATAAAACCAGCATTTTTATATAACAAATCAGAATATTTCAATGAAACTTTATACATTTAGCGACATATATAAGGTAAAAAAAAATCACTGGATGTGGTCCTCACCATCGTCCACAAATATCTCCAGGCGGGGACAAAATATGGAGCAGGCCTCGGCGACAGCTTCTCTTTCCATGTCCATCCAATCCTTTTGGCCGCCTTGAGAGCCTCCTCGTTATTATAGAGCCTACTAATCACCTCTGTCCGAAAGACACAAAATAGTCGAGTGGATATATAATTCAAGTCATCCTTGAAAATTCGTCTGCTGTTGCTCATTTCCTTGTCGATTTTCCTCATGCATTTGCTGGGTTTCTATTGACAACCTCAGCAACGGAGACGAACTCATTCGACCAAGTGGAGCCTAAGAGCCTCTCATGCTTTTATGGCTTAAATTTTATTTGTCGTCTGTGGCCTCATATGACATTGCAATATCATTGACCATGGTTTTAGGGTATTAAAAATATTCAGTGATCCCCGTGTCTTTGTGACTGAAGACATGTCGCTAAAGAACTCGTGCGTTAATGGTCAGACTGTTATTGGTGTGTCGTACATTCAAATGGCCATCTAGAAGCCACTTGAAATTTCCTGATTTATCTGTGCTACATAATATATATATATATATATATATATATATATATATATATATATATATATATATATATATAGAAAATATACTCTTATGTTGTGCTATATTTATGGAATATGCTATTATCAAAGATAGAGCGTGTGTCACATTTAGAGGCGACAGGCTGTTTCATAGGTAGTTACAATCGTTTGGTCACCTTATATATATATATATATATATATATATATATATATATAATTATAATAATATTTTTTGTTTAAAAATATGATTCCTTCACTACATAAGAGTTCTCATGTTTCAAAAACGAGAGCCGAAATATCCAAATAATTATTAAAATTAAGTTGGATTGTGGTGTTTAGTCCCATATATATATATATATATATATATATATATATATATATATATATATATATATGTGTGTGTGTGTGTGTGTGTGTGTGTGTGTGGTGTGTATGTATGTGTGTTAGTGAGTGCTTGTCTGAGGAATGTGTGTGTTACAGGGAGTATGGTAGTAATAATAGCATTCATCCTAACTAAGGATGTTATACAAGCTCTTTTATGTGGGCTGTACTTGAATATGAATAAGAATATGGGGTATAAATAATAACGGCTGATCCCCCGTAACCGTTGTCATGCTCGTGTTGATATTGCCCTAACCCACTTCTCTAAGTGTAAATGAGGATGTTTCTGACGGTATGTTGGTATCACTTGCCTTGGGCCCCTTATTCTAAAATAAGGAGGAAATAGCCACTACGGTTTTAATCCTAGCAACATTATCATATATATATATATATATGTATATGTGTGTGTGCGCGTGTGTGTGTGTGTGTAACGACTGGAGCAAATAGATAGAATAATAATGGTATGATGATATGATACTGTTACTAACACATTTTTGTATTTTTTTAACTGCTTTTCTCTCAATACACGTCCATTTTACTTACATTCTTTATACGGGTAGTTACAGGAAAACTTTTGAGTGGACAAATAATCCCGTCCGAACAAATACTTTCATTAGTATGGGAGATACTATGGCTGTGACAAAAAAATAAAAATAAAAGAATAGTTTCTCACATGAAATTCTAGAATTTTTAAGATAGGTTGAGTAGACAATGGTATTATATATTACAGAATATTCAGCGAACACATTATAGATTATTTCAGCTAGGTAAAATTGAATGTTTCCACGTGATTTGTGAAGAAAAGGAAAATTAATTAGATTAGAAATTGCAGACGTTAATAAAAGAAAGGAAACTTAGCAGGACAGAAAACGTGCATATGATGCATATAATAAAAAAAGGGATGGACCATTATAGGAGAAAGTAAGGATACTTCAAATTTGCAACCTATACTAAGGAAACTACTTTTTGCAACAGCAAATCCTATATCAAACATGGAAGGGCTTTTTGCATGAAAACTCGAGGAATGATTCCCACTGCTGCGAATGAAGAGAAACAAAATGGAAAACCAGATGGTATTTAAAAAAAAAATCTTTTCTCTTTCAATAGACTTTGCGATTATAAATATACATATTTGATAGCGTAGAAATATAGGATGTGCTCGGTAAATGATGACAAAGAAGCCAGGTGCAAAATCAATGTTTAATAAACTACCTTACTGAACTTATCATTAGGATTCGAGTGAATACAGCTCGTGGCTTTATTAAATTGGATATAGAAAAATGACGCACAGGTTCTTTTTCACGAAATGTTATATATATGATCAGAATGCGATCAGTGCAATACAAATTGAGGAATATCTACGTTCTACGTTTCGTTGTTTACAGAAAAGTATTTCATATGGCAGAATTAAAACTCATTCGAAATGTGATTAAAGTAATTTATAACATTCTCAAATGAACGAAAATCATACCTAAGGACCGATAAGTAGTTCAGTAAATAAACAGATATTGATTGAGTATAATAGGAAGGTAGATTTTTCACGCTATTTATTTAAAATATACAACGAGATTGTCGTAAGATAAGATCTACTAATATTTATTATAGATGGGCATCAATTTCACAACATAAAATAGGCGAAGAAAACTTTGTCGAGAGCCAAGTAACTATGAAAGTATTATTAGATAATTATGTAATTGAAATCGAAAAGAAAAACATTATTCATGTCTCCAAAACGAAACTGCTCTCTAATAATCGTCGGAGAGAAGCGTTTTGGCCATCCCTCAGAATAGCAGTTTCTAAGCACCACAAGAGTGACTTATATGGATAACATTTTCCTTTGATATGTTGTGGAAAGTGTATATTGAATAAATTGCAAGGTCTGCTGCTAGGAATGTTGATTCATGTTGATTCACTCTGTCGTTTGAGAAAATTTCTCTCTCCAGAATGTATCTTCCCTGTCTTTAGAGCTAACATTCGCCCATGCTTAGAATATTCCTAACATATATGTTCTGGGGGCTTCTGATATATATTGAGATACCCTTGTTAAAAATCCAAAGAAAATTCTACAATTTCATTGGTCCTGATCTAGTATCTCGGCTTCAGTTAATTTCTCACCCTCATAACGCTGCATCCCTATTCATTTTCTATAAATACATACTTTCATGGTAAATGTTCTGACGAGCTTTCCTCTATGGATCCTATGAATTTAAGCGCAGTCATATATTGGCGCCAAGGTGTAATAGTTTTAAAGTTCAAGTGGCTAGATATAACCAGAAATGCTTTGCTAACATTTTATTTTATCGCACTCCTCGCTTGTTGAACTTGCGTTCAATTTCTGGCATTTCAATTAAGTTTCATCTTTAAAACAAAATCTGCAATGTCAATCGTTATCTTCTTTTTTTTCTATTTGCAATGTTCTTCCTTGTTAATAAAGTTTTTTGTTTTTCTTTTTCTTATATTCTTTCACACAGAGTAACCACATGCGTTTCAGTATTTTTTTTGCTTTTCTTGGCGTGAAACGATAATAAAATAAAGAAAAAGCTGACCTTCCAGAAAAAAAAAATCCCTAGGTACAAGGTAAGCTTTCAGTGGGGGTTAAAATCTAGCAGATTCAGAAATTTAAGTCTATTGTAGGGACAAATGCCGGAAAATATGGCACATAACTTTCGCCGCTGCTCGCAGACTTACAAACAAATACAGACACAGACACTCATACACACACACATACGTCCACTGAGGTACAATAGCCACCCGCATTAATAGAAAGACTCATAGCTCTCATTTTGGTAGGCATTGTTACTATTGTTTCCATTGCAAATAGTAGCATTTGACAGGATGCCGTTGCTAGCACAATACAGGCAGATAACAAAACAGACCTTCGCAAATGTAGATGATGTAAGTAGACTGTGAAAAACCTGGTTGCAAGCTCTAAGGATAAGTTATGTAACATCTTATCTCGTATATTTTAGCTAATACCGGAAACTCTTTTCAGAGATGAAGAAACGACTTGAAGCTACAGAGAAATAGGTCTACCTAATGCTAGGAATACAATGGGCTAAAACTTTGAGAAACGAGAATGATGTGTGCATCATTTACATTATTCGGACTATTGTCCTCATTTTTGTCGCTATATTTATTACAACGTTTCGGTCGTTGTACGCTCAGGCTTTCTTCAGGTGGTTGGAATGTCGAACTGAAACCATTATTTCGCTCACTGGGGTAGACTGTTCTAGTTCCACGTGCCATGTTTAATGGATGTCAGTTATCAGTTATCCTCTGTTAATTTTCCCTCTGAAAGTTATCCACTGCCTTATCAGGTATTGAACTCACACTTTTTGGGTCCTATCACTGGATCTAACCAACGTCTTTATCCACTGTGCTATGTGTCCTTGAAAAATGGGAAGAAAGGTGTATTCATTTAAGCGCCACGTGCAACCTTTCTACCAGCCATCAGTATGGGTGATGGTAAAACCTGCAAGAGCAAAAGATTGCGATTTCTTGTACTCACATTTCTCATTGGCCTGAAGTGGAGTGATTATATTGAATCAATTTCTAGGTCTAATACTACTAGATAGTTTCTCGGCTATGTCGTACCAGACAATATTACACGTTAGATTCCCTCGTTTCCATTTGGCCATTACTATGTGAATTGAATACTGTTGCTATATTTTGTTTTGTGCTTATATATATATATATATATATATATATATATATATATATATATATATATATATATATGTGTGTGTGTGTGTGTGTGTGTGTGTGTGTGTGTGTTTTAATTGCACACGAACTTTATGGACTTCCTGGAAGATTTGACTTAAAAATGAACATCATGGAAAATTATATTTGCTGTCACAATCGGTTAATAGAAATCTGTAGGAAAGATAACGAGAAAAGGAGACCTAGGTAATTTAACATAGAGAGGACATCATGAAGGCAAGAGAAACGAAGAATACAGAGACCAAACCGTCAAACGAATTCTTATGAACGGATAGCAGAACCAAGAAGAATGGTAAACAGTCAGAATTTTCTTAGCGCAACAAATGAAATAAGGATTTGGTCTGCCATGATTATCCCTGTCTTGACGGGACATGGCGCATAAAAAATGACTTTGCATATTCTGGGGGTCGTTTCTTTTTGTGATTTTAGTTTAAA